AAGTTTGTGGGTGCTGAGCTCTTGCTGACCCTCCTTCGTGGATGAAAACAAAAGCCTGGGTATTCCCAGATGCGATCGGCCAGCAAACCAGTAACACGCTTGCATGGGACTCTCCTTCCACAACGCTCTCTCCCCAGGTTTAAAGCTGATTCATGGCACAGGGGGACGGGAGGAGAAGGAGGGCGAGTGCAGCAAGCACCAGCTGATCTCTGCTCTTCACGGCTGACGCGTGGTCACTTCTCGCCTGTGGCGAGAGCCTGACGTTCACACACCCAGGGATCGCTGCCAGCCAGGAGGGAGGGTGCGTCGTCCAGTAACAGGTACAAACATTGAACTCCAGTCTCATAGCTGCCCTCGGCGTGTCTGCGGAGCAATTCTCCTCGCTCGCACAACCCCTCCTCCTAGGTTTTCTCTTCTCTGTCTGTTTTCCGCCTCGTGATATTCCGAGGTTTGATTTTGAGGGACAGTTCCCACAAGGCCTCCTCAGCCAGGTGGTCGCTGAAATCATTGAAGAATGACACTATGTCGTCGTTTCTTTTGATGTCATAATGTCTGGAAAACCACAGAGGAGGGCTGCAGTTAAACAAGGGGCTATGTGGGGACTTCTCCCAACTTCGAGCCCCCCCCCGTCCTGCTCTAAGGGACATCCAGCACTGTGCTCTGTGCCCAATACTTGTGGCCGTGGTGTGACATGAAAAAGGGGAAAAACCATCATGCCCATCACTGAACCAGGAAAAAAAAAAAAAAAAGACCCTTTCACACTGAAATCAGCAGTTAGAGCTGGTGCCTCTGCTGGAAGACAGCATTCAGGAAACCCTCCATGACCAGAGGACACAGGAACCAGCAACAACAAAACCCGGACGAAAAACTGTTGTGTGAAAGGGAGTAATGGAAAAACTTTACTGCACTGGATCTCAAAACTAATATAGGAGAAATAATCCTTCACAACTTTCACAATCTAACCTAGGGAGGGAAGGAGACTGTACCAAAGTGCTGTTGTTCCCAGGTCTCCTTACATCTCCATCACGATGCTTTGACTTTGGAGTCCCTTTCCCTTGCATGGGGGGCTCCCGTGCCCCAGGCACGACCCCCCACACCACTCCCCACCGTGGTGCCTCAAAGCTCTGACCCGCCCCCCCCAGTGCTGCACTTACACTTGCTGGAAGCACCTCATGCTGTCCAGGATGTTAAACTGCTGCCAGCGCTTGGAAAAGTTCACTTTGCTGTCAATGTAATCAGGGTTTCCCAGATGAACAAAAGTCAGGTCCTGCAGAATCAGGCCTCTGAAAGAGAGAAAGGGGCAGCAGGCCAGGGAGCAGGCAAACAAGTATAGAGGTTAGTCACACAGGGGCAGGACAGCCAACTGAAAGGCAGCCGGACACAATCTGAAGGCCTCCTGCTGCTGCCACCATCTGCGTTACAACTTTAAACTAGAGGGAAATGTCCCCCCAGCAGCAGATCCAAAGGTGTTCAGGTGAAAGGTGCCCACCAGGCACAGCTGATGGACCTCTGAGGTGAGGCACCTGTGGTCATGCTAAGGGTGCTGAGGTTGCTCTTCCACCCTCCATGGAAAGGAGGACCAGCCTGGATGAAGGTCGCAATGGGACATGCCTGCCAGGGGTTAAACCTTCCTCCCAGTTTTATGCAAGAGAGTTTCCCTCAAGTTGAGGTTTTGCTAGCAAGGGAGTCTGTGCTCCCTCCCTCTGCCTCCCCTACCTCAGCCATGTCTCTGCACGGTCCTGCTGTGCTCCCCTGCCAGATGAGATGCCACGCAACCTCCTTCTACAGAGCTCTTTCGATGGAAAAAAACAAGACCAGGAGAAGAAAGCAAGCGGCAGCGCAAAGCTGTGTGATCCATTGGAAAATTTGTCTTTCTGCACACAGACCCCAAAGAAACTCTAGTTAAAAAGCATCAACTAAAGATCCAGGCACTGGATCTTTCCTTTGCCATAGTCAACTCACAAAAGCTTTCTTTACAAAAAGCTAGCTGCCACCCTGCTTTCCTCTGCTACAGGACAAATTGCTCCAGAAAGGGCATGTGGGTTGACGTGGCTCATTGCCATCTTATTCTAGGTGCAGGGCAAAAGGCAAGTGCCGAGCTGAGCAGAAGCTGCTGAGAAATCCTTGAAGGAACCATTTGAACGTGCAGAAGTAATGGCAGAGGAAATAAACTACCGACTCACAGGTAAGGTATGCAGGGAGGCTCCACATCAGCCAGAGCTGCTCGGTAGGCGCGGAAGGACGAGGAGCTGTCAATCAGTGTGCAGTACTCGGCCAGGCCCTGGCAGAACACAAAGCCCACGGTGGCACCACTGCTGCAAACCTGTTTCCTCTGTGACCTCTCCCCAGGGAGCCACGCAGGCCAGGGAGTTAATGCCACCCTGCAAACATCTCCAGCTGGTTTACTCAGCCTGACCCCGAGTGTGTACACACAGAGCCTTGCTGCCTTCAGCCTCACCTTCCATTTGCAGGGAGGAGGAGGAGGAGGAGGCGGCAGCTGTTCTCACCCGTGACTGTCAGAATGACCAGCCATGCTGCAGGCTTACAGCACTATGGCATTATACCCACTGGAGAGCAGTTCTCTGCCATCCCTCCACCCTGGGACAAAGCTGAGCTCTTCAAACCACCCAGCTGGTTCATACCATAACCACAGATATCTTTTTCCCCTGAACATGACAGCCCTCACTGCTCACCTCCGAAGTTTGTTTCTGCCACTCCAGCCTTCGGATGGGTGCAGAGTCCAGTGCAGAAAGAATGGCCAGATAGGAATTAAAATTATTCAGCTTTCGTAAGTGCTGTGAAAAGGGAGAATATTCCAGTGACTCTAGAGATCTGAAAAGCCTTCTAGCATCAAACAGCTCAACCAACCAGAAGGTCCCACTCCCCTGCGCCTTTAAGGAGCAGTGTGTGTGATTCACAGCAAGAACCAAGCTGATACCTTCATAATCTTTATAAATTTAAGGAGCAGCCTCTCTCGGTCTTGGGCTTTCTCTTGTAGCATAATTATTGATCGGACCCTGGAAGAACAGACAGAAAAAAAAAAGATAAATCCACTTAAGCAGAACTCAGATTTCTTCTTGTTTCATTTAAAAACCTGATAACTGATAAGGATGGGCCAACAATACTAAAAAGTTCATGATACCTTCAACTTAAATGGAGCACTCTAATTCACTACAAAACCAGAATAATTTCAAGGATGACCACAATCATCTTTCATAGAGTACATTTATTTGCAAGGGGAATGTTTGTTTGAAGGTCTCAATGATACTGACAATAATTCCTCCAGGTTACGGTGCCCTCCACAACCCTCCTGATTTTCTTTCTCATGTGCTCTGGGGTCTTTGATGAGTGCCCTGCATCTACTTCCTGGCCAAAAATATATGTTAAGCCACTTGTAACAAGAGAACCCAACTCCACAAGGAATATTTTGAATATTTGTGGGGCACTGGAAGTTAAGGACAGTTCAGTGCCACAGCTGTTCTGAGCTCCTTACCAGTAGGACATGTTATTAAAGTGCTCTGTGAACTGTGTCAGGTTGGGGCTCTTCTCTTCATTTTGCTCCTTTGCCCAAAGCAAAACCTCTGGGATCTGCCAAGGAAGAAGAGGAGAGGGGTGTGAAAACACTCTATGTTAAAATGGGATTTCTGACTCAAGATTCCCAGTGGCAGTCTGAGGTCACAGCCTTTTGCTGACACAAGTTCAGCTGTCTCCTACATCCCAGCAGGTGTGCTCAGAGAGCCGGCAGGGAATACCAGAGATTGCAGAGGGTACACGTTCAAATCCTTCCCACTGCCCCTGCCCATCCTCAGCTCTGTACCTCAATTTTATAGAAGAGTTCGGCATCTAGGAGGGTCAGCTGCTCGGCTATTTCATGACTGTGGAAATCATGCAGGGTCCCTGGCCTGTGGGAAACAAGGATGAAGTATAAAGGTTTAGAAAATGTGACCCATTTTCTTCTATTTTGGACTGAGAAAACTCGTGTCCACAAGAAAGGGATGCCTTGTCTCTCAAAGGACCAAGATATGGTTATGTGCATCTTCCCTCACCTGGCTGCCACCCCACGGGCTGCAAGAGGTTTCATGGAATTGGTGTAGCTCAGCATTTTCTTCTGATCCACTTTATCAAGGATATTCTTGCGTAACACTCTGGCAAGACTCAGCTCCCCATTGCAGACCAGTCGGAAGACCAGGTCCATCAGCAGCTTGAGAATTTCCTCTGTCAACTCCACTAAGCTGAGAGAAAGATGGAACACCCAGGTAAGACATCAGAGCTACGACTCTGAGCTAGAGAGTTTGGATCTGTACTGAGTCTTGTTGCTCTTTCCCACAAGCAGAACCGAGTGACTGAAATTCCTCCCCTTCCCAGTTCTTCCTTTCTTACAGATTCCCCTTTTACTAGTTATTTTAAAATATCAGTGACAGAGCTAGGACACACTGAGAACCTGCAGGTGTCTCACTGGTCAGAGTAGGGGATTTCAGCTGTCATCGTAGATGAGGATTAAACAACACACCTGCATAACTGCCAGACCTCTGGATTGTTACTAACCCCACATCTCCCACCCCAGAATGAAGAAGGCAACTCACCACAGCTCATCCACCACTCTCACCAGCACGAAGAATGTGTTCTTACTCACTCGCTTCTTAAACGTGTCTGGGAAGTGGCAAAACTTCTCATATGTTGGTTGAAAATTAAAGAATCAACTTAATGTGGTCAGACCAGCATCAGTGCAATTAGCAGCTGCCTCGAGGAACATCAGAATAGTGTACTGCTCTGGACTGAAACTGGTGTTCAATTTCCAGGAGATAAGGGACACCGATATGGCTCATAATTAACATGGTATTAAGCAGCCACCAGCTGCAGGTAGCAGGGGTGTGAGGAGGTACTTACACCTCGCAGAACTGGTGCGAGAAGAGCAGGTGTACCCTGAAACTGTTTTCTCTAAGGTGGAATTTAATGAGCAGCACTCCTCTACTGTGATCTCCCCTGCTGGTCTGTGACATCTGGTCTCAACAGATCTCAGATGTCACCTCTACCTTCCTCACTGCCCAATTTGCTGCAAGGAGAATGGTGGCAGGGGAGACAGCATAGGTTGAAAAAGCTCTGCCAGGTGGACAAAGGCAAAGAGAAAAAGGTTATCAGTAAGTCAAGTATTGACAAGGGCCTGCAGGAACGCCCCAGCTGGTATTTTCACTGACAAGCACTCTGCAGTGAGATTTGTCGTGTCCTTGGACGCACTGCTCATGCCAGCAGGAGCAAAGGGAGCAGTGGCTCTGCTGCAGATGGCAGTGATGAGCTGCGACACAGGACAGAGTGACGTCAGGCTCCTTTGGACATGTGTGTACACGACCAAAGTCCATGAGGTCTTTGCACTGCCTGAACCGAGACACTGACCCACTCAGCTGATGGGGAAGAGAGCCACAGGAACAGAGCCAAGGGGAAGGAACTGCATGCAGGGTGCTCAACAAGGAGCCTTCTCCATGCTCTGCCAGAAATGCTAACGCTCACCCTGCCATGTAGGGGCCCTCACCTCGTTAGCAGTTACAAGCTCAGTTCAAAACTGGGAGGCTAAGAGGACATTATGCGCTGTGTTGCATTTCTTGTACTAAGAGGGAGAATAGGTCTTGACCATTTAGTCATCTCTAGTATTAAACTACATCTGCCTAAGCAGGCAATCCCCACAGCCCCTCTGGAAGGCAGAAGGCAGCACGATCTCCATTCTACAAACAAGATGTCCCAAAAAAATGACCAGTTCCCCAGTGATGTACAGAAAATCTGAACTGCTCTTCTCCCCAGCCACGGCTCGCAGGAGACTACTCTCAGGTCCAGTACTCCACTCTGCCTGGACCTGCCCAGCAGTATTTCCCATTTGCAGGGTGCAGAGGTGAAGGAAGTCCTGCTTGGGACACCTTCAGGGCAAGCACATTACTGACCATGCTGACAACAGGCTTTTGACCAAATCGATGGTAGGGGTGAACTGCCACTCGTGCTAAAGGATATCTGTACTGCAGCTTCTTGATGAGCTCTTCAGGGGTAATAAATGTCCTGTACGTAGTCAGAAAGGCTTCACAGTACAGCACCAGATCTGCACAGAAAGACAACAAAGACTCAGTCAATGCTGCTTTCAGAAAAAGGAAGCTTCTTGTAAGATTGAATCCAGTCTTACAGGAAGAGGACACGGACACATTTTGACACAAACGGATTGTACAGATATGCTGTGCTGTTGTTTCTTACCAGCAGATGGACCCTATGGCACAAGAGTCAAACTACAGTCAAACTGCCCTGTCCCCGCTGGCCTGGCTCCCATTTGCAGCACTCAGGCTTGCTGTTCCGCTTATGTGACCACCAAAAGGGTCAGCGAAAAACACCTGTTTGTGGGACAGGAGCCTTCAATATTGGGTCAAAGAAAAATGTGGTTTAGACCTTGGGGATACTTTAAAAAAGAAGATCTGATGGCAAAAGGTGGGTGCCTGTTCTCCGCCTTTACTGCCCAGGCAGCACAGAGCCCTGCAGAAAGACATGGTCGCTCTTCTCCAGGGAACAGTGACTGATCAGGAACGCACGTGTTTTGACATGATGATATGGTGCTGCAGACACTCTGCCCTTGCTATGTTCCAGGACATCTGCCCCAGGACAGTGTAAATATAAGATTATTTTCAGCCAAAAGGAAAATAAATTGCACTACATAAAACTGATGCTACCAGGACCATAACCGTGCCACAACATAGATGCTGACACAGTGCATGTAGTCAACTCCTGTTTATTAATCTGCAGGAGCAGGTGCTACAGGCCTCAGAATTGCAAAGGCTTTGGCCATCGTCATGGGCACTAAGGAGGGATTTTGAAAAAGCAGAACTGCAAATGGGAAAGAAGATTTCAGGTCAAGACTGCAGAACACTCGCAGTCCCAGGCAAGGCTTGGTCACTGTGGACAGCAGCGGTCAAAGCGGAAACTTATTAGCCCCAGTATAAAACGACACAGCACTGCAGGCAGCATGTGCAGTGGGATGGCACACTGCAACTGCTGGCAGAGCCTTGTTAGCACAGACGGGGAGAAAAAGCTTCTGCCGTGCCTGCCGAGGCTGGCTGTACCTGTAAAGCTTGTTTCAGCCAGGACAGGGCTCACCCCATACCCATGGGCTGTAACATCCATCCACTGCATGTGGAGGGTGGGAAAGAGCAGGGCACGGTGTGATGGTTATGCCTCTTTACCTGCGGTGTTTCTCTTGGCAGGAGCCTCACAGAGATGCGGCTTCCTCCTGCTCTTAGATCAGAGAGCGCTGCTGCCTTTTGGTTAAAGACAGACATAAGCTCTAAAGCCAGAGGCTGGGTGGTCATGTCAGGAGTGAGTCCCTGGCCTCGTCCAGCTGTAATTCTGCACTCACAGCAAGTGCATGTGGCTGTGAGCACTTAACCATGGATTTTATTCCTAAAGACCACAAGTCTCTCTTTATCCCTTATTCCACACTTAGCTCTTTTAGAAAACTCAAATGGACAAGAAGCATCATGCAACAGGGCGTGGAGTTACATTTATTCTGGGTTCCTATCTGCCCAAAAGGCAATGTGAGGTAATACAGCTGGTCTGCTCTGGCACTCAAAGCTGCCAAGAAATTCATCTTTAAAGGAAAGCCTCTTAACTATACCCCTCTGTGTCATTTGGCTGATTGATTTACAAGCCCTGAATTCTTCTCATTGTAAGCTTAATTCATTAACCCTCTCAGTCACCCAAACACTGGGTTAGCATTGCACAAATTCCTCTCTGCTCCATTCAGCTCAGCGGCTTGGCAGAGCCTGAGGCTAAGCTCTGCCACTATTCTGAGACAGCCTCCCTCCACCCAGCCACTCTCCCTGTCCATGCCGCTGTGCATTTAAAATCCTGCTCTAGTTTTTCCTAGTCTTGAGAGGTTCTCCACAGCTTTCACCTCAATGCTCACCACATCTTCAGAGCTCCCCATTCATGAACTGGATGTTTAGCACACATCTGTTTACCAAGTAGCTGTCTTTCAACACGAACAGTAGGGAAGTTCTTCCAGTGTGATGCTTGTTCTGGAGAACAGCAGGAGTAAATCAGAGCTTCTCCATTCCAGTTTTTTTGTAAGGGGTATTTCCACCATCTCATTTAGACTATTTGTTTAAAATACACATATCTAGCCTTGGTGCAATCATTTGCTGCCTCCTCCTCTCTGATATGTTCCTCACTTTGGGCCTTTCTGCCTGGACTCGATGCCCAATGTAAACAGGGAAACATAGCTGTCAGGGGAAGGATTTTCTTGCTAGCTGAATGGTGCTGGTAAGTAATTACAAACACCTTATGCTACAGTAAAAACCCTGCCATTTAAAAATGCACATGAAAGATATTTCCCCTCTGACTATCAAACCTCTAAAATATGAGTGCCGAGTGGTTCAGTGGGTTAGTGCATTTTGCCTTGCGTCCCAGGAGAGAAGATCAATTTCGGTTAAGGCTATCAGCACAAATGTGTTTGGCAGGTTCAAAAATCACTCTTTGGAGACATGGCAAAGGGTGTCTTTGCCACAGGTCTTGGAAAGAAGCTGCTTCATGTGGGTGGTGATCAGGTTAGGAGAGATAGTGGGATTTTAACAAATCTATAGCTAAGGGTGGCTAATTCCCCTTTTCCTCCCCCATGTCTCCTTTCTTGTACTGTGGATTCCCTCCCTGAACTGGTCTGGGTGACTACCAGCATGCAAGCGGTACACAACACGACTAAATGACTCGGTAAGTTGAAAACAAGGGGTGTCAGCAAGACCAGCACCTGAACAGCTTACCCGATGCCCATGGATACTGAGTTAGACCAAACCAACGTCCCTCCTCTCCCACTTTGATGCAACAGTCACTCCAGCAGCTCCTACATCACCACTGCCCTGAACTTCAAAGGGCAAGGAGTACCTCTGAAAACAGGACCGGGCACACTGTGCTTCCAGCGGGCAACCTCAGTGGGCATGGAGACACCAACTCCACTGCTGTGCCTCGCTTTCCAGATCTCTGGAAGGGCTATGAAGAGTTAATACCATCCCTGCTGCTAAATGGAATGAACAGGCGCTTATCCAGCTTACCTCCGTTTCACCAAAGATAAGCACAATCCCCTCCGCAAGTCAGAGGATCACGGATCAGTCCTCTCCACCCTGGCCCAGCTGCCTGCAGGCACACTGTGACTGCATGCACTACAGAGATGCGGAAGACAAGCAGCAAAAGGCCATGCCAGATCACGCTCCTCAGCTCTGTTTTTGTGCATCCACTGTACCTTTCCTGTCGGTCTCTGTTGCGTGCACTAACAAAATGTCTCCGGATCCACCACGAACATCTGGCCCATCATCTCCCTGCAATGAGAACAGAAACACATAAGGCATGGCCCAAGCTCCCTTTGGCCTGGTTTACCATCTCTGGGGTTCAAACTCAGCAACAACTGGCAGAGTACGCAATGTTCCTGGCACTGCTCACAGTGCAAGCTGGGACATGGTCTTCAGTGCTGGGCTAATCCTGGAATTTGAATAAAGCATTTTGTGTCCCAGATGAGGATCTGGGCTGATCCTCACTTGGGGTCTCTGACTCCTTAAGGCCAGGCTGTGAAGCTCAGTGAAAGGTGAACCTTCTACCCACAGAAGAATGAACAGAAGTGTCCCAGACTCCCAAACGCTCCCAGAAGACCCCTAACAGAGCACAAACACTGTGTGAACTGTCTCAAAGTGCGGGATCATGTACCACAGGGGCTGTGGGGTGAGAGGTCATGCCTTCAACTTGCACGCTCCTGGAACATCAAAACCTAGCAAGTTAATTCCCTAATCTGGAACTATGTGGCTAGAGGTCACCTGAAGCGATCCAATAAGCAGCAGCAGCAAACAGCCCTGCTAACTGCTTGACCCCTGCCTTACCACTCTCTAAAAACATTTTTCTTCTAGCTACTGTAATTCACAACTAAAAAATATGCAAAACTCATCTATCACTCAGCCAGCGGTTCCCACGCTGCAGGAAACAGCTCGCAGTGGCAGTTCTATACCGTTGCAAACACGTAGAGCGTAAAGAAAAGAAAGAAAAAAAGAAGTTAAGGGTTGACACAGATATGCTAGTCCCAAATGTTCGGAAATCACTGATTTTTAATTGTTTTTTTAAAGGAATGATTCCTGCAGAGGAGACTGGAGTCACATCTGGCTTCCCTTAGCAATGTCATTGTCATTTCAATATGCAAAATACTGAAAAAAACATGGATTACAGCCATGAGCAGCTATGTCTAAGATGTGAATTTTTCAGGTGACCCTCTGGCAAGACTCAGAAAATACTACTTAAAGAATGAGTAATAGCTTCTCACTGTCCTGCGCATCTTGGCTGACCAAAGAACACTCCTAAAGTGCTAGTAAATGGTATGTTCTCTCTGTTTTTCAGACTAGCCCCCTGACAATCTGAAAGCTTCAAAAGCCTGCATATTCCCTCAAGCTGCATGTCAAAGACAGCTTGGTTCAAGAGTGCAGTGAGCAAAGCTGTCTGGGAGTGCACCCAAGGCTAGAAACAAAACCGTTGCTCAAGTACAGAAACAGTTACTTTGGCTGCTCTTCCACATCAGTAATATAAGATCCTGCATGGGAAATTTGCTAAACCTGCCTTCAGATGGAAAGGCCAACACCATAAACACACACATGGATTTACTGTGCTCAAGCTCTCAGGTGCTTTATTTCAGACTGCAGCAGGCTGAAGAGGTGGGAAGGAGCGGGCTAGCAAAAGGACACAAGATGAGCTAGTTTTTAGAGAGACATCTCACATTTTGTAAAACCCTCCTCCATTGCTGATGCTCCCTGCCTGTACCCAGCATCTCATACTTTCACAACAGCCTGTACACATAAAGCTGCATACCACTTCTGCTGCAACCTAGTTTTTCCTATCAAATAAAAGTTGATGCCTTGCTTGTGCACACAGAGAATCAGATTTCAAGAGCATGAAAGCAAACCCTGAATGCACCAACCTCTTGCTTCAGTGTTAACCTAGACATAATTTCACTGTGGTCGATAAGGGACAGCTCATCTACTTCTTCCTCCAACTGTGACGATTCCAAAGCATCTGGTGACTGCTGCTGCCTGTAAAAAAAAAAAAAAAAGGCAAATACCCATTGGTGTCATTGCCCATCCCAGGGAAGAGATGCTGGGTCCACCAGAGCTCTCAGTGTACAAACCTTCATTAAATGACAGTAAGTACACAGGCAGTCTGGAGGTAAATCTTTTGCAAACAAGCCCAAATGTCTAGCTCTAATTCTGTTGCTTTGTGCATCTCTTGAAAAAGAGAAAGATGAACCTTTAGGACCTTAACACTTGTCTGCTTGCCTTTCTGGCAGACAGGCTTTTACTATGCCCTACGTAAGTACACGCTTCCATGTCTTCTTAATCCACCAAATTTTTAGTGCACACAAATCTAAGCTCTTCTTCGAATGTATAGAGACTGAGCACACTCTACACATATGTATGTTAGTCAGCTCATGACCCATCGTGCTGCTACATGGGGAGATGACAGGCTCTCTTTCTGCAGGAAGACAGAGCAGAAAGCTCTGGCCACTTCTTTGGTGTACATCGACAACTCTAGTATTCCTACCCCCAAAGGCTGGTACACTTGTGCCCAGACACATGCTCTCTATGACTCCATTCCTAAAAAAATAAAAATAAAAAGTACACATGTTCTTTGTAGCTTTCCCCAGGCACAGGCCAAAATCCTTTCAGTCAGTACTTTCAGCAGACAGTGAGCTCTGCAGAGCACTCGTGCACTGTCTCCTTCACTGCAGGGATTAAAACCCTCAAACCAACTGCAGGAAAATGGGGGAGGGAAGTTGACTGTCAACACACAAAACAATGCTGTTCTCTATTTTTGCTTTAGAAATGCAATTGAAGGGCAATCTCAAGCAGCAGGGAAGCACTCACTCCGCTCGTCCTGAAGCCCATCTGTTACAGCCTGCACCTCTTCATTTACATAGACAAACGATAGCTAAGAGCATTAGAAGGGATATAAAGCCTCCTGCTTCGGGGCCTCAGCCAGCCTAGCAGGGTTAAGAAGAAATTCCCCTCTGGAAGACTCTTCCCCAGCAGCGAAACAGACTTTTTTTTGCACGTTTCCTTGGAAGCAGGAGGGAGCAGCCAGCGTCAATGACAGGACTGCCAATTAGATGGACTTAGGATGGCTAACACAGGCTGTGTTAACCCTTGTAGGCTCACTGAATTAAGTCAGGATCCACCACGTTCAGATCCACCACGTTCAGCGGGATCCCGCTGCTCACCGGTTGTGCAAAAAATGTGGGCTTAAAATTTAGAGAACATGGGGAAGGTGGAGGGCAGAAGAGGCAGCCCCAAGGACGGTTTAGTAGAGGGCAGGGCTAACAGGACATCGGTGGGACTCTGTACCCTTCAAGGCTGGGAAGCAGGAGGACCACGGGAATCAGGCTCACCGTTCAGCACCGTCTTTGCCTTCCTTCCCCATGGCACTGCTGTTCGAAGTGGAGTCTTTGGAGTGGCCGTCTTTGACGGAGGGAGATTCCTGCAAAGAGAAAGAAGTTTTTCATTATCACATGGGGTCCTACAACACAGCTAGCCTTGCATTTACAGTGTGACTGCCTCTAAGTGGCCCTTTACTGTAAATTCCTACAGAGCGGTTAAAGATTGATGCAAGTTAATGCCAAATGCCAGGAAAACACAGAAGTTAATTAGACAGGAAATTTGGGACTATCTCTGGAGACTAGTCTAATTAGTACTGTTTGCTTTTGACATTGTGAAATGATGCTGAAAGTTACAACACAAGTCAGCTGCTGTCTTGGATTTTAACCCTCTCACGGCTTTTTTTTTTCCTCTCCAGCCCTTACTGTTGAAATACACTTGTCTTCTGCTTCAATCAGAAGAGACACAGCCAGCTCTAAGCTCTCCAGTTTCAGTTCCCTTCCTGCTCTCAGCCCCCAAAACATCAGCCTGTCTCGGGGTGGATGCATGCTGCTGTTCCTACCTTCCCTCTCTCTCATCCGAAGAAGTTACACAATGATGCATGTTTCCACTCACAATTCACGGCTGTGGAAATGAGGCTAATGCAAAAAAGCAGTATCATCTGAACCCGTGGCACGGAACAGCAGGTAGACAGCTCAAAGCAAAGATACGGTATTTTAAATTAGCCATTTATTAAGGAGACAAATAGCCATGAATGGCAAACGGGAATATTAATCCAACAGTCTTGGAGGTCAGAATTATTTGACATCATGCAGAGTGAAACTTGGAAATTCAATCTACTGAACCGACAGGACTGAGGCCACCTACACGCTATCCATTTGGCCTGGAAAACACACTGGTGAGCTTACATTTCTTGGTGTCTGCAGAATTTTTCCAGACAGTATCTGTAAAGCCCTTAGCTTCAAAGTTGAGAACCAGCTTGCAGCTGTCCGAAAGGATGGGCCTGCCTAGATGTGTCTCCTGAAGGGAAGCGATGGGAGCTCTATCTCTTGGCATATTTAACACCAGCGTGGATAAAGGTCTCAGAGACATCCTGTAGGAGATGTGCCTTCCAAGATGAGGACAGGCAAAAAAGATTGCCACAGACCGCTGTTTCCTATGACCCAACAGGAAGACGGTACCTCCCTGCAATGGAAACACCCTGTCTCCTCTAGGAAATATCTAAGATATGAGGCTTGAGTAAAGGAAGAAACAGTGTGCCATTGCAGTGCTAAATCAATCACTTGCTTTGTATCCAAACAGTGAAGGAAAAAAAAAAAAAATTAGAGCACAAGGCTTTCTGCATTAAAACAGGGAAGCCAAAGCAGTTACAAGAACAGACACAGCCCCAGGACAGCACTGGTCAGGGTGCAGCTTTCTGGAAGGGAACCTCACGCAAGCAGCTCCAAACAGATAGCGAAGCACAAACGAAACAGCGCAGCAGGAAAAGCCGTCCCTACCTCCTGCCGGGGCTCACCATGACCCCGAAAGCACCGCCTGCTCTCCACCCAGACCGGGAGACCACCCAAGCCTGCAAGCCAGGACAGGCAAGCAGAGGGACCGCCAGCAAGGGAGCCGGGGCAGCAGGATGGACACAGGAGCTCCACGGTGTGCAGAAGAGGCCGGTGCCAAGGGCCTCAGCCCCGGTGTGAACTCAGCATGCACCAGGCAGCCCCTTCCCGGTGTCCAGCTCTCTCCGGGTTACTTACTCCTTCAGAGCGAGGGAGTTCCCCGTTGCTCTGGCCAGAGGAATACAGATTGACGTATTCACCCTCACCAGCCTCCTCACTGGCGTTTTCACTCTAAGGGAGACAGGATGAAAGGAAATATGTGATGGTGCTCTCTGCCAGCACTTAATGTTGGTGAGAGAACGTGCCCGTGGGCTGGGAGAAGTGCTCTTGGCAGCTGCTGTCACCTAACTGGGAGCCCTTCCTCCAGCTCAGTGGCCAACACTGGCCACCGAGGCTGTACCTTTCTGGGGGTAATTATTTTCCATTTCCCAAGGACTATCCCAAAGGCCCTGAGGTGCAGCAGGACAGCAGCAGGCACTGCTTTGCAAGAGCCGCCACGGACTCCATGCGAGACTGCGAAGATGCAATATGCACGTGCGGATTTCAAGGTTATGGAAGCTGAGCATTCAGAGCTCGACACACAAGTGCCTGTCCTACCCATGGTGTAGTCCTGCCGCTAAATGCAATTGGCCCTGCAGCCCAGAGGGTATCAAATGCATCTCCTGAACTATGCTACAAGCACAGACTAGAGCCACCACGCCAGGCTAAACCAAACTCAAAGGCTTCTGGGCTGTAACAAGGACCAATGCAAGGAAGATGCAACAGCAAGGTCAGGTCCAACGTGTGAAAACCTGATCATTTACTCTGCAATCAGGGTCCCTCTTCCAAACTCTTCACAGAGGCAGCACTAGCATGCACTGTGCTGACAGCTCTAATCCCATCAACTCTAGGCTTCGCAGCAAGCAAAAGAGGAACTGTCTTGAAAACGAGGTGTTTAAACAGGTAACTGTAATGCACAAACTGCCAAATGATCTGCACAATTGATCTGGGACCTCACACAAGTAGTGCCGTATCAGTGTGGGAACAGCGTTAGTCTAACTTCACCAACACGTGATGCTTTGCACCAACGTGCACTGCCACTAAACGCACAGCTAGGGCCGCTGCTAAGTGGAAGGAGCAGGAGCCTGGAGAGAACAACAGGTTTATGCACAGGAGAGGGAGAGCTGGACTGCACCCACCACTCCTGGGGCTCACCAGTGGCTTAGGAGGGAGCAGGGCAGCAATTACCAAATCCTGCCGTGGCAGCAACTGCAGGATGCGAACCGCCGTTAGGGGCCTCTGTTTAGAAACAACCAACCTCACACAACACTCCTTAACCTTCCTTAGCTTTGTATTACAATTGCAGGAAGCTACAGCAACTTCTCCTCTCCCCTTCACCAGCATTTGACATTTTATGCTTCCTACACATGTGCTCGCATTTTCTCAAACCTGGTGAGGTTGTTCATTTTTTCTAGCCACCATTTTTATACGAAATTACCTCTCTGCAATTCACACACACGTTTGGAAACCAGACTAAATCACATTTAGCATGTATTAATACAAGAGACATTTTCTTTTACAAAACAAATAAACCCAGCCTTGCGTTAAGGTGCATTATCTCTTTGGATAGTCTCACCGAAGGCGTCTGGAGAGAATCAGTGAAAGAGGTTTCAGAAGGCAGGCAGACAGGAGCATTCCCGTTAAAGCTGCTCTCCTGAGAAGAGGAGTTTGGCACATCCACAGTGCTGGGTGACAGGCTGGCTGCGGCGGGCACCGCTAGGTCAGAGCTCTGAGACGGATGGACGGGCAGAAAAGGTGGGGTGGAGCAGGAGGAGGAGGAGGTAGAAGAGAGGAAAGGAGGTATGGAGACCTGGTTGTGAGGCACAAAGTCCTGGGAGTAGGACCTAAATACAGATTTGTACTACAGGATGCAGAGACGTACAACACAAAAACAAGGAAGATGGGGAAAGGAAAGAGACAGACAAGAGAAAAAGTAATTAGATCAGCAGTAGTGTAGCAGTGACAGCACAAGGCATTTCTAACACAGGCACCTCTCTGTCGAGAGGCCAACCAGAGGCAGCACTATTTTACCACCCCCATGATAGAGCAGCAATTGCTACCTGGGACACATCAGCCAGTTTTTGCACGGAGAGGCATGTTCTTGCACAAACAGCAGCTGGGCTGCTCATCTCTGAGGGAAAGGGGGCACCAGGGTGTTTACCTGCAGGTATCCAGCCTTTGCTGGGGAGGGAGAAAGCCTGGATACCTCGGCACTGTTAATGACAAAGCTCAGCCTGAAAATCCCTCGAGTGGATGAAAGGATGCGAAGGCATACAGAAACCACGACTGCGAGCATGCTGGAAATATCTAGATAGAGAGAAGTACTCCAAGTGCTTAGTGCTTTTCTGGGATTTTCCACAGGATCCAAATTTAAGATGCCATGTGCTCCAGCCCTGTAATTTAACAGCTACTGTGTCAAGTCTGTTCCAGAACACACAGCTCCCAGGGAGGAGTGGCTGGGTACTGTCTTCAAATTTACACTGAAGGATAAAGGAGATTACACTGCTACTCCTTCCTATTTGAGAAACATAGGGAGCAAAAATGGTAATTGCCCTCAGGAGCAATGAATTCCTTATCAAACTGATCCTTTAACGCAGTGCCTTGAAGAGTCAGCTGAAGAGATGAAAAGAGATCATCTGCGTAAAGCTTTACTTCACTATCTCTTCTAATCATCAGATTACTGTTCAGATAATATTAAACAGGGTGCAGTGGGAATATATTGTGCCAAGAAAAACAAGAGGAACCCTCTGCTTTTAATATCTGGTGCTAGTCAGATTTGCCATCAGGGTAAGTCCAAAACAAAGCTGACACCCACCAAAAAAAGAAAAAAGACAATGCTAAACCTGCTGCAGAGGAGTTTATTTTAAAACATGTAGAGCTCAACCACTAGCGAGATCTGTGTCGTAGTCAAGTGGACCAAAGGAAGAATCACATCATCCAAAAATACCCACGCTGAAATGAAGCTGTGGCGGTTGCTCGTTTGAGCGATCTGCTGCAGAAGGACGGTGCATTACAGAGCTCTCAAGAAGCAAAGACAAAACTTGCTCAAACCAGGCTGAAAAGCAACACTGCTGTGATGTAAAGAGGAGAAGGGAAAACAAAAGCATGAATCGGAGAATTCAGGCTACATTTTCTCAGGAAAGTTGAGCGGGTGATAAAAAGAAAAGCTTAGTCTGTCACCTGAGCCACGGCAGCAGCATCCAGTTCAGCAGCGTTGGGGCTTTTTCCTACCTAGGAAAGATGTGAGCTTAAAAATCTAAACTGAAAACAGCCTCAGGACAGAAACCTGGGCAAAAAAACTTTTCCACTACAAAGGAAAGGAAAAGTAAAGGTCAGTGGATAGACTTTACCTTCCAACACCTTAATCCTCGAGTGGTTGCCCTCCACCACGCATGGTATCTGGCAGTGCTCTGGGTGTATTCTTGGGGCCCAAAACATATTGCAGGCCATAATA